AGAAAATAATGTGTTTTTTGAACCTTAAACTGCATAAACACATTTCATTACACCAAATACACAAAATGCTGTTCTTTTTAGCAGCATCATATGACCCCTTTAATTGAAATCAGGTAGTTTAATTCAAGCTTCAATGTGGTTACTGGAAATTACAGTGTGGAAATCTCACAAGTGACAAAAACTTGCCTGTGGCAACATTTCTGCAAAATTGCATTGCTTTGTGCACATTTTACGACACTTTCAAAGTGACATGTGCAGTGAATGGCAATAAAAGCGTGTTTAGTTTTGTCAGAAACAGGTGAACGTGAATCTGGCAACATTTTATTGAGTTAGTTGTTGTATATATCGCATGTATAGTAAAAAATAACAGAAAATAATGTACAGTACACTAAACCCAACCTAATGGATAGTGTTAACAAAAGCTAAAGTGAGATAAAAATGCATTCTGTGCATGTAATGCTGTACCGGGTGAGCTACTGAGCAAGTTTACTATGTGAGAAAAGCAACACATATGGATCTGATTATATGACACAAACATCAAAATGTATTAGTTTACATATCATGCACTATAGTAATACTGTTTTGAGATCATAACATAGTATTGTGGAAGGAACCATGTAAAATGAAGTCTTCATTAACTCATAATTTGCCCTGTAAACAAAATTTGTGTGAAAAGGAATAAAAGTTGTTGGTGTTTTACTGCCACTATGGTTCATTTTAACTTTTAAATTTTAACTACATACTGAATTGTATGTACAGTAAATATATATATATTTTTGGAGGGGTTTTGAAAAATATACTGTAGGTAGGGGCATGTTTTTCCAATGAGCCTATGTTGCAGCCAACCCTAGCTTTAACTTTTAAATTTTAACTACATACTGAATTGTATGTACAGTAAATATATATATTTTTGGAGGGGTTTTGAAAAATATACTGTAGGTAGGGGCATGTTTTTCCAATGAGCCTATGTTGCAGCCAACCCTAGTGCTCTGGAGCCTCACTGGATCATAATCCGTCCTCGCTTGTCTGTCCTGGCAAAATGTTTTTCTAGCAATGCAAATGGCTGAGTGGATACTGAGGCTGAATGATCTCTTGCTTCACATGGATCTAGTTACTTCTTCGACGCTGTCCAGCCTGCCTTCTATTACACTCCACCTGCTCCCCAGTGAGATCTTAGATACACATGCATACGCTTGGGGAGTGTATGTGGCCCGTCTGGGGTTAAAACCGAAGGGAAACCCACACCTGCATGTTTCACTGGCACCATGGCTCTGAGCTTGGCCATGGGGGTTCTGGAGAGGGAATATAGGGTTTCATGGTAGGAATAAATTTAGATCACTCTGGTTTTCACATGCAGTGAGCCCACGCACTGTGGTGTCTGGTTGAGGACCCCCATGAGGTGAACCACAAAGGCTGGAGGATGGAGACAGTCACACCTGTTGCACTGCCATCATAAACTTAACCCCAGGAAACACAGCCACTGTTAACAATTGAAATGTTCACTATGGCAGATCACACATCCATCTTCAGCATAAATCAATGCCCATTGAATCAGAACATGACAGATCAAATCAGCAGGTGTCTGAGTGAATCTCATGAATCCTTTTAGGAACATGTAAAGGGCTGCGTTTCCCAAAAGCATCGTAAGCCTAAGTTGATCATAGCTTCCACTGTTTCCTCACCAAACAGTCTCAAAATGTTTTGTAGATTTACCATTACAAACATAGCAAAACAAAGAACCTTTATGATTCCGCTCATCTTAATTACTCCAATATGTTCCTATTATGCATACATTTCATTTGCATTCATTTGTGATGAAACATTTTGTCACACTGCACCACTACTTATTGGAAAAAGAAATTTAGAAAACAACCGAGCTACTGCCACGATAGTATATAATGTAATAAAGTTAGCAGCATGGCTTCTTTTAGTTGAAAATATTGTCCGTTTTTTGTTAGGCTATATTATACTATATATTTGTTTTTTGCATATTTTTAACAAATTTGAATCATACAAAAACAACTCGAACTGATTCATGGCCCATTTTCAGATTTCTTGCTGTATCATATTTCGAAACCATTGTGATCGCAAATATTTACACACGCTCCAGAATTAAGCCTGGAGGCTTTTCTAGAATAGACTCCTCCAGTTTGTACAAGAAGAGGTTATTTGCGCCACATTTGTCTATCAGCACTCTGAGATCATCGGACTTCTGTTTGCTGTCACACCCGGACTCATTTTCTCATTAAAACTCTATAGTGTTTACTGCGTATGAAGTATTCACTGTCTCCAACCTGGATTTAAACAACTCCCAGTCTTTGTCATCCAAAGCATGCTTTGAACTTGCAGTAAATGCAGAGAGCAAATGGACAACAGGAAGGAAAGAAAATAAGAAAATTGCTTTGTATATTGCGTGTAATACTGAATTGTGCAAATGTTCTACTTTGCATATTACATATGTTGCATTTCTAAGATTACCATTCTTCACTTGTTCCCTTGCTCATGAGTTGGAGAAATCCCACTCCATAGAAAAATGTGTGGGCAATTACAGATCCACTAAAAAGTTCTTTCAGTATAATTGCTTTTTAATATCATGAGTGTTTGGCCATACACTATATGGACAAAAGTATTGCGATTAACTATTAAATTAATGTTTTAGTCAGCCACGAAGAGGAAGACCACATAAAGTCAGAATCTGCTGATTCCATAGCTGAAGAACTCCAAACTTCAACTGGCATTAATATCAGCACAAATACTTTGTGGCGGGAGCTAATGGAATGTGCTTCCATTGCCAAGCAGCTGTGTATGACTTCACCATTTTCACAAATTCATGTGTTTGTAGTTTACACGGAGATGATAACAGTGTTGTTTTCAAACACTGGCACTTTGAAACCAGTTTTCGAAAGTTTGTATTTTCAGGCCCCCAAAACGCCATTGTTGTGTAAATAAACGGCCAAAACTCATAAAAAGTTTTTTTTTTTTTCAATAGTGTCGTGTAAACAGCACCTAAAGTAAAGGGGCGGTCACACTGCACTTTTCGTTCCATTGACTTCCATTCATACGCATGTGAATGCGTCAGACTGGAAACGCAAGTTCATGCGAAAAATTTCGCATTTCGCTGCGTTCCAAAGTTCAAGTTTGGTGAACTCTGACCTGCGAATTCGCATCACGTGAAGACGTGTGACCAGTAGAAGATCGATACGTCACTGCGTGACCTCTCTGTATAGAAATAAAAAAAATGGAGGAAGCACTCATTGTAGCCGTAGCGCAGCGTCCTATTTTATATAATACATCTTTAAAAGATTCTAAAAATCAAATAAAAAAAAGAAGCTGCATGGTTCGCGGTGTCAATGGAAACAGGAACAGATGGTACATTTGAATGCAGACACATTTTATCATTTTTTATTGCTTAGTGTGTATATATATATATATATATATATAGAAAGAGAGAGAGTACAATATAATTATTATACACAAGTGTATTATTATTGTCATATCCTGCTCCCGCCCATATTCGCAGCAGCGTACGAAAAAAAGTCTAGTGTGAGCGCCCCTTAAGAATAAACTCTGCCTTGCAAAAAAAATGTAACTTGTAATTCCTCTTGTGTGCCAGGCAAAATAATGCAAATCTTATCCAATCTTCACTGCTGGTAAAATCGTAATTTAAATATCAGACATTTCAGACATACATTTATCTGTAATATATAATATTGTCATTTCTTAACGTAGTCTAAACATTAGAGTCAAAGCATTTCAAATAATTCTCAGAAATGTTCTCTCAAATGTAACAAACATTAATGTTAATTATGTTATGAATGTTGAGAATGTTCATTTAAAGTTATCTGGGCTTTAATGTTCTCAAAACATTAGCGCAAAAATATTTATTTATAATCATTCGTGGTACGCTTTTTTTATCTGAAATGTTTTAGTTGGATGCTCATCTAACATTTAAAAAAATGATACTACTTGTTTCAGAGCGTTCAGAGAACATTCAAAAGTAACATTCCCATAATGTTTGCAAAATGATCAAATGGAATGTTCCCTTAACGTTCATATAACCATTGAAAACATTTTTAAAACATAAAAAAACAAACATTTTAAACATTCAGGAATAATGTTTTCATGACTTACTGGGAACATTACCAAAAACATTCTTAGAACATATTTTTGTTGGCTGTGAACATGGTCAATGTCACAAATTTGCTTAAATTTGATTAGTGACCTAGAAATAGGTCACCAGGTTTAAATAATAATAAATAAATAAATAATAGCTTTTGGACCCCACTGTGTACGTAAATTACCTTTGAGCAAGAGGGAGAATATTTCCATTCATGTCTTATTGTACAACAAGAATCATTACGAGAACAGATTCTCTTGGTTTTAAATGTGAAACTAATCCTTCAGCTGTCTATGTTTAAAGAGATTACGCTTCATGTTGTTGTTTGGGCTGCTCTCTGTTATCAGTTTGTACTTTTCAGCTGTTGCACTGATAGCGCAGGAAAGCCAGGCTTGCATTGTTCAAAGCTCTGTGTTTCCAGGAATACAGGTCTTACACTTGGCCAGATTACATGGAAAATGCTTCCCATTCCAGTGCCACTGAATGAATATGAGCTTACACACGTATTGTGTCTCACATACCAGCCTTTATACGGAATAGGCACACGATTAAGTGAGCATGTCAGATGGGGGGGTAAACAAACTGTTCGTAAGTGTACATGTGATTCGCATATTGATAATTATTCGCAACTTCCTGGCTATAAGGAATAATTTAGTACATTTAGTGGAAAGGCAGACGGGACGTGTGATGTAAGAGGCTGTCTGTGAGCACCGTGTTTGGAGGCATGTAGGGGTTGGGCCCTGGGCGATGGTGAATTCTTGTGATGTTCGGGCAAAGCTCATACGGGCGGAGGCATGAGGACATTCCTCTCCTCCCACCG